GCATTTGGTGATTAATTTTCTCTCTAATAGTAATAATCTTATTATAAAAGAAGCTCATGAAATCATTGCTACTTAAGTTTATGGGGATATGTGGCTCAATAGAGCTGTGACTCTCTGTCAGCCTGGCTACAGTGCTGAAGAGGAACCTAGGGTTGTTCTTATGAAAGGTTCTCTCTGATTGCCTGGTCTCTCCCACCTCACCTGGCAGCGTAATGCTGAGTTACGAGCATGCCCAGATGCTCCGTGCATTGTCCGAAACTTTGGGGATGTACAACAAAATATTCTGTGAATAAGCAAGAAGTCGACGAGTGTTAACTGAAGCATGCCAACATGGATTCACGCACTGCCCTGGAGCTCATTTTTACTGAGGAAGAATTTAGCTGCTAATGGCTATTAAAACGATAAAGGGGACACAAGAGGAGATGGTCTGTCTGTCCCTTACATCCCTTATACCCATATTGTGAGGTGCATGCTTTTTTCTGTTGCACACGTGTAAATAAAAAATAAACTATGTAGGCCATCAGGAGCAGCTATCTCTGTTTTATTCCTTAGGGAAGTATAGTGCCTGAAGCCTGGTGTACATAGAATTTTTTTTATTGCAGGAGAATTTTAATAAGTTCACAAAATATGCAAATCCCCCTCTTCCACTATATGGTAATGAAGGCATTTTAATAATCCTGTTCTTGAGAAGATCTCAAGATACTTCATCACAATAGCCTAGTCTAATGCCTTTTAAGGAGGGAATTTATAAAGATATATCACAGGCATTCACAGAACGTTTTGTGGTCCATCTTGCTTAGTGACTAGTTCAACTTTGTACTTTTAACATGTTTAAATCTTTCTGTAGGTTTGACATAGTGTGACGGAGCGGCTGTGTGAACTCGCAAGGAAAGATGTCTACTAACTCGGCTATAATTAAATTTGGTTTTATACAGATTCAGAATGTTACCAAAAAATACCTTACTGAAATGTCAGCTTTTTCACACAGCTCATTTAATTTAGGTGGTACCGACTCTTTACTTTTTTCATTCTTTCTCTCTGAAGTGAAAGGTTTATTGTGACTTGTCCGGTCAATTCAGTTTTATATAAAACGATATAAAATGATAATATGATGAACTTTTTCAAGAAGTGAAACACAACAAGTTTGCTAAGATTTGTTTCATTCATTGTGCTGCTCTGAAAACAACAGAGCAAAGATTGTTTTTGTTGTCACATTTATTTAAAAGCAAACTTAAATAAAAAGAAAACTCACATTTTGATGTTTTGTTATGATTTTCCTTTGATATATATGGTCTTGGTCTTGTCTCGGTCTCGACCTCTAAATGTCTTGGTCTTGTCTCGGTCTCGGTACTCTCGGGTCTCGGTAATGTCTTGGTCTCGGTTGGTGCGGTCTTGACTACAACACTAGTTACTGCAGATTTAACCAACTTTAATTACCAAATATATCCATGATAGCAAACAACCTCTGTCCTCTAGGAAAGTTCACTACTACAGGCTACTGTTGCTTATCTAGTTAACCTAAGCAATCTTTCCCTACTTCCAGTCTATATGCTAAGCTAGGATAAAGTTCGAGTACTAGTTCATTCTTGACGTTTTGAAAATTGTCGTCTGATGTCAAAGAAGATCCTCAAACATGGGTTAAAATTGTTTTACATGAAATTACATTTATTTAGCGGAAACTTTTATTAAAAAAAGTGAACCTTGATAGTGTTTTCATTGGTGGAGTGACACGTGACTGCAGAGGTGACATCCGACACCTTCCCATCACGACTTATGGCCAGCACGATGACAGGAAGTGACACCGGCTGGTTCGTCAGTATGGCCGTGTTGATGATCGTGTTACTCTGACGAATCAGAAACACACAGTATATTTAATCAGATTATATGGACCTTTAAAGATTTGAGAGATTCTAAGGATGGAATAAATGAATGAAGCACCTCTGTTATGGGAGCGATTCCAAAGATGTGTCGATCAGCGAATGAGAAGATGCTCATCGCTTCCCTGCGTGGCAATAGGGGTTTACTATGCCCGGAGTACTCCACCCACCAGTTAGCAGGCACCGCCATTGCAACACCAAAGCTCTGCCTCAGGCCATCCACTGACAGACACACCACCTGCTGGAGGAGAGTGGGGCTGCGGGGCGACAGAGATTGTTGCACTCAGTTGAAATAGTCATCATTCTGACACACACAGCTTAACGATCACTGAGGGAGTGCTTGATGGATTGTAAGTTTCTGAAAGTAACTGTTGGCTGCAGGCCCCCATGCTGTTAAAAAGAGGTTTGGAAGGGGGGGTTCAGTTGAGACGATCCAACAAGTGTAACAACATGTATACCTTTTGCTGTCTGGATGGTTAAATGCTGTGAAAACGTTTTTGATGACTACTGTATTTTCCAAAGGTATGGATTTAGTTTCGAGTCAGACTTGAGCCACAAATCTGATGACTTTAGACTCGACTTGACAAAATCCAAAAACACGTGCAACTCTACTTGGACTTTAACACCAATGACTCGTGACTTCACTTGGACATTTCTTCATACAGTAGATGAGTAACGACCAGTTTGTGGAATTTGAAACTTAATACTACTCACATTGGTTTCTGACAACCTGAGAATAAGTACAGGCTGTGAAGCAGGAGACACTACGATGTAGTGTTTTCATGATATATGGCTCAAGTCCAAGATAAGTCACAAGTCATCAGTGCTTAAGTCCAAGTCAAGTGTTTTTTTGATTTTGTCAAGTCCAAACATCAAATAAATGAACACGCTTCATCTGCCTGTCTTCATTTAATGGCTCACTGATGCAACAGAGGTGGAATTAAGCTCTTGACCTACTTGTGTGTGTGCTTGGGTGTGCTGTGTTTGTGGCAGAGGATGGACACCACATCGTGTTTGGAGCCTTGGCTTTTCTCCAGGGTCACAGCCCACAGGTCAGAGGTCAGAGTTCTCTGGGCCACCATCGACACCAAGCCCTTCTTCACCTTCAGCCTGAAGACAGATTTTGATTGTAAAACTACAAGAGTTAGTTTATCCAGAGTGTGAAAGACAGCAATTTAAGAACGTGAAAGGGTTGTACTAATTTTGTGTTTACCTTATGATGACAAAGTCAGAGCTAAAGTTGGCTCTCAGATTCACAGACACCCTGAGTGGCTGTCCTATCAGGACCGGGCCCCTGTGATAGCGAATCACCACATTGGAGTCCAAGCTAAGCTCCTCCTCTTCCTGCCCATTCAAACAGGTTTCTTCTTGTTTGATCCTGCTCTCCTCTCTTTCTTTCTCTTCCTCCTCCTTCAGTGTCACTGCTTTGATGTGGAAAAGCTGCCTCTGGGACTGAGCCTGTGTGTCCTCTACACATCTGGATGGACGATCAATGGGTACGAGGAGATTGACAGATGTGGGGGAATGACAAACAGAAATGAATAATCCAGTAGCAATGAAAAAAACTCAGAAGTCAAAGAGTATCTCTCACCACATACCCTTGTGGCGTCAGCCCTCGGTCGTCCATGGTGTCAATGGAGGAGTAGTAAAGCTGTATTTGGTTTCTCATGGGGCCATGTTGGTATCTGAGAGCCCGTGGAACATCCCCCTGGGTGTCCCCATCAACATCTGAATAGTACCTGAATGAAGGCAAACATTAATCTCACACAGGCAACTGGTAAAGGATCATCATCACCCACAACTCATTTGGAAAACAAGGATCAGTGGAAACTCCTACAAACACATCTGTCCATGCACAGTTTTCCTGTTATAACCGTACCAGTTCCTGTCCAAATACAGTGGGCTCCATGCAACAACATTCTCCTATCCACATTGCAAACCCTCACTTTTTTGTTTGCTAGTATTAGGCCTTTTTTCTCGACTTTTCTTTGCCTCATTGTGTTGCGTCAAGCTCTAATGGTTACATGGATTAAGTAATGGGCTCCCGCCTGAGACCTCCTGAGTCCGGAGACTGGAGAAAACACCCACTGGTACCAGCACCAATCACGGGGAAGGCCAATCAAAAAAGTAAATTAATAAAGAAATACCAAGTTATGGCATTCATATATGTAGGTATTCATTACTTAGATACTGCTAACAGTTGTACTACTATACAAGTGACGTTGTATTACTGTATGTTTCTACAGCCTTGAACAGGCAAACACTTGCTCTAGATAGGGGCATTTGCTTTTTTCGTGAGATTTGCGGCCACTTTAGTTTCTCCTACATGCTTGGAAGATGAGCAGTATTCAGTTGGTGATGCCTGAAACCCCCTGACTCAAAATAAAGAGAAACTACAGTGGCCCTGAAACTCGCATTAACGCAAGAAACATGGCAGTTCAACATGGCGGCCTCCGTTCAAGAGGGGCTGCACCCTCTGTATATAAAAAAGATTAATTCTGATGTATCTGAGGAGGAAAATTTTACAGTTACTTACTAACCAAATGAGAGGTTGCAGCCGGCTCGCGCCCCCCCTGCTGGTTGTGTCCCTCTCATACTCAAATGCATATTCATATTGTCTCCTGTCCCCTTG